GTTTATACCAAAAGTTTTTTTTCTCCCTAATATTCTTTGGTGAATGAAATTAAAACACATTATTTATTTTAGATACTATAACCCAAAAATTTCAATCATGACATACATTCTGACAACAAATCTTTATACAGCAAGTAATGAATGAATTTCAGTGCCTCGTGACTTAAAACTAGATTAAACTAACTGAAAGAAATTCAAAGGTAGGGAATGTACAAGCTAAATGGAGGCCATAGAAAGGGTGAACCTATGTTTTCATCAAAAAGAATGGGTATCTATGAAACCATTTCAAATATAAGTAATACAATGAATATTTATAATAAATCAAAGAAAGAATGGCTGCCTGTCTTTTTTAATCAATGAACAGTCTGCTAATCCAAAATGGTTTAAAAATCACTATTTGAAAATTCAATGCTATGTGCACACATATTCAAATAAAAAGCTTGACTTTTACAAGCTTTCCTTCTAAAGCAAGCAAAAATTCAACAATATCTATAGTAATCAGTTACTTTTGGGTGGTGGTAAGGAACATACCTCAGTAGAAATTATATTAATTCCATCTACACAGAAGCAAGGATGGTAAAGGGAAAGGCCGCAAAGTCTTTGACAGAGCAAAAAATTATTAAGAGAAGTGCTTTCTGAATTTTCTAAGCATTCATTGGCTATCTTTAATGCATATTCCAGTGAAATCAAGCAGCAATATGTACTGAAAAACATTTTCAGACAATAATAAAACCCTTAAAGGATACTAACAAAGTATATTTTTCACACTGGAAACCTAAGCTAAAGTCATACATTAGTGAATTCATATTATGAGAAGATTGGACACTTTCTATCATTGTACAATGATGATATATTCAAGAGGTTTGGTATAGAGATCTTCCATAGAGACATTCATAACTGAAACATTTTCTACCCAGTCACATCTGTGATATCAATATTCTTCCCTTTGGCCATGGCACTCTAAGCCATTTTTAGAGAATTTAGAATGAAACTTAGAGGTCATTACTTTAATCACCTTTATCTTATTTTTTTGAATACTTAGTTTTCTTCTGATTATAAAGATAATAAAAACTTGCTGCAGACCTTTTACAATATAGTGAAATGCAAAGGTATAAAAAAGAATTGACCATAATCATAACTCCTGGCTCAATTAACATAACATCACAATCCGTTTTTTAGTTTCATGTATTCACTTAAAACAATATCATGAATGTGCTGTCATTAAATTCTTCATAAATACAGATTTTTAATGACTGCATAATATTTTATCCTATCAATGAAACATACTTAAATTGTATTCCTATTTTAGGTTGCTGAAGGTGTTTTTTAAACATTTTTCTATATATATTCAAAAATACATCATTGTTTCTAGTGAACATTCTCAGCAATCTGAAATAGAAGTGCATTAAATAAATCATATGTGCTGTGGTCCATGGGGTCATGAAGAGTCGGACATGACTGAGCGACTGAACTGAACTGATGCTCATTACATTAAATATCTACTTAAGATGAATTCAGAGGAGAGGAAATTCTTCCTTTTATACATGAAGAAATGTAGACCATACAAGTTATGTGATTGATGAGGTCCAAAACTAAAGTTATCTGATTTTCCGTTTTACTATATCTATGTTCGTAAAGGAGTCTACTGGATTCTATCCGTAACATCATCCTCTACAAGTTAAAAGTGCAGATCTTGGATCTCATTCTGTTGAAATGCATTCTATTACTATAACAACTTTGCTATCTTTAAATTTATAACCCATTATTCATCTTTCATCCATAAAACTATTTAATTCCTTCTTGAGCCTACACACAGTGGCAATAAACCAAATCAGAAAAGAAAATTCAAATATTAAAAAATAAATAGGAAATTTTAGAACAAATGAGGGAAAAAATAGAGTAAGACATTCTTTTCTTCTTCTTTTCTAGATTACAATTATAAATTTACTTGAATATGGAAAAAGTCAACTCCATCGTGATTACCCATAGGTAACAATTTAAAATAAATTGAAGAGATGCTATGATAAAGTAGAATTACAATTCAAAAAGTTAAAGCATGTTAAACCCAGTTAGCTACAATTCTGAAGTTATTCGGGAGGGAAACAAAGGGTAAAGACTTCAGTCAATTTCTACAAAGTCAAGACAAGCACCCTAGAGCCAATTCTGGCTGATTTTAGATAGGGAGCTTACTTCCAGGAAAAGTGCATGCCCTGTTCCAAGGGGGAGAAATAAATCAACAATCCAGAAACCCTGAAACTTCCTGACCTTCCACAATCTCCAGTATTACTGATGGATAAGCCAAAAATTTCAACTGAGAATTATTGGAAAAATATAACAGCTTTCAAGTCCATATGCATTTTAAGATTCAAGATTATTTTGCCTTTTTTTAGAATTGTAAAACTTTAGTTGTTATTTTTTAGAATTATAAAAATGTTAAAATAATTAAAATATTCAGATAACCATTAATTGATCAAAAATATAATATGAAATCTCTGTACTCAAACATCAGAGCTTAGCTTTAAATAAAAATGGTAGGCCTTTAATTCATTTTTTTTCCCCCTCTATTCTTTTAAACTCATTTGGGAACATCATTACTAATCACTATTCCTAGTCATAAATGCTATTGGAACACAAATATGAAATCTACTGTAAGGGTAAAAATATATATACTAAAAGTCATAAATACAAATAGGTTAGTATATGATGTGACAAATGTTTTCCTTCATTCTAGTACAGGTTCTTCATCTAATTTTGACAAATAAAAACAATACAAATTAAGTGAATGGAAATTTATAGTTTATTCCAACTTGTGAACCAAAAGCCATTCTGAATCTATATATTTATATCCATTAAAAAAAGAAGAAAAACCACTAAATTTCAAAGTGGTTCTATGTCTCTGACTCATATTACTGGTTTCAAGTTGTAAATTGAAGAATATTTAATTTAAAAACTTGATGTAAATCAATGGCATTAAGGTCCTACACAGAATATATTTGCTAATGTTTTGCATATTGTAGTTTCTTATTGTAATAAACCCAATGAGATTGTCCTTCATACAAGTTTCTCACTTTTTCTTTCTCTCTTTTTTTAAACATATAAGTAACAGAAGATATTTTCATAGCTGATATATTTTCAACTTACATAGGTCTACTTAAAGTTCAATGGTTCACAGTACTACTATGAAGTACACAGCAGGAAAGAGAACCCAGAAAGAACTACACAATAGATATAATCTTGAAGGTTGGAACTGCAATTCCCAGTATTTTGGCTATCAACGCGATTATTTTTCTCTCCCAAATAAGAAAGCTTCTGGAATATCAGTAACTGACAATAATACTAATTATATAGATAAGATTGCATTGGCTTCATTTAGTAATAAAGAAAAAGCAACTCAATTTCAAGCTTTAGTATTTATTGCTGCTGCTAAGTCGCTTCAGTCGTGTCCAACTCTGTGCGACCCCATAGATGGCAGCCCACCAGGCTCCGCTGTCCCTGGGATTTTCCAGGCAAGAACACTGGAGTGGGTTGCCATTTCCTTCTCCAATGCATGAAAGTGAAAAGTGAATTATTTACCCCACATGTGCAACTGATAACAGAAACATTTTTAACATTTCATTTCAGAGTCTCTTACCCTCACAATTAAAACCCAAACTAAAACTTACATTTTAATGTGGATTTGGCCAACATGATACACTTAATAGATTTAATTTTATTGATGAAAAAGAAATAAAACTGCTTTTAGGTGATTTATTTTCACTTTCAAGTTGCTACTAAGTTTCTGCATGACAGTCACTTACACTACACTCTCCAAGGGATCCTCTACAACAATTCCAGTCTGTTCATTTCATCTCTGATACACCTTACAATGGTTAAATTGTATTTCTTTAATAATTACTAAGCAAAAGCAAGAAAGACCTTAGGTATTTTTATTATTATCATTGCAGCTAGAAAAAGAAGTAGATGTCTCTTAAAGTTCCCTTCCACTTCACACATAAACACTTATCCAACCCCAAGTCTCTTGTACTTTTAGTCAAAGATGAGCAAACTGACCACTCCTCCAGTGATGTTAATAGTGGGTCCTCACAACAGGTGAAGAAAAATGCTTTATATAGACCACCAACCATTTAGTTTTAGACAAAAGAATGTGAATAATATTTTTGCAAACCTATGTAACGGAGCTCAACATTATCTTTTACATACATACAAGTATGGACATGTCTAGATATAGGAAAATCTAATGGGTTGAAGATCTAGGATTTTAAAGAGACACAGGTGACTAGATAACAGAACAGCAAAACTTTTAACACTTCATTTCAGAGACACTTACTCTCTCAATTAAAACCCAAACTAAAGTTTATATTTTAATGTGGACTTGGTCAACATGATACATTTAACAGATTTAATCTTATTAATAAAAGAGAAATAAGGCAGTTTCCATTAATTAAAATATTCTTTACATAATGAGTTATTGCAGGGGTTCATAGAGCACTTCCATATGCATTCAAAACTGAAAGAAATTATAAAATATGAATTCAATCACATATTTTATGGAATATAAACATGGTATAAGGAACATGAGCATTTCTGTTACAAATTAAAAGCTGAAAAATGTTACTTAGCCAATATGATTTCCATTATAAATGCCTTTTAAACTACTGACTTAGAAAATTGATGTCTATAGGTCTTTTAAGACAGTATTTCTGTTAAATACTAATTGAAAACATAAGGTACAAAACATTTATGTGAGAAAAAAACAACCATTTCTATTGAGATCATAGCAGGCTGAAAGCATCTTTTGGCACTTGACTGAGTTGTCTAATATATATGTCTCACTCACACACACAGCTACACACCTGCTGACAGCTTAAGTTATCTATATGATACTTAAAAGGAAATTTTCAAACATAAAGTGTTCCACTATAAAATTTGTGGACAACGTCTGTGATGTACTTTTCTTTCTATATTTGAAATCCAATCATATCAGTAATAAGATGACTTACCGGCCCAAATGAATTACTGTCAAAACTGTGCCCATGATGATCACCTTCAACCCAGATGTGACCACGGGGGACTTTGACATAGCGGTTTTTGTGTCCCATAGTTCTAAAAATAAAAAAAATAAATAACTATTGAGAAAAGATCAGTAAAGAAAGAGCTCAAATAGGGAAGCATACAAACTCAGTAAGGACAAAACTGCGATTATAAAGATGCAATGGATTATTACAGGTTAAGTGTAAGGCTACTGTAGAATTTTATTTTTAAATAAGATGTGGTTCAGTTCAGTTCAGTCGCTCAGTTGTGTCCGACTCTTTGCAACCCCATGAGTCGCAGCACGCCAGGCCTCCCTGTCCATCACCAACTCCCAGAGCTTACCCAAACTCATGTCCATTGAGTCTGTGATGCCATCCAACCATCTCATCCTCTGTCAGCCCCTTCTCCTCCTGCCCCCAACCCCTCCCAGCATCAGGGTCTTTTCCAATGAGTCAACTCTTCGCATGAGGTGGCCAAAGTATTGGAGTTTCAGCTTCAACATCAGTCCTTCCAATGAGCACTCAGGACTGATCTCCTTTAGGATGGACTGGTTGGATCTCCTTGCAGTCCAAGGGACTCTCAAGAGTCTTCTCCAACACCACAGTTCAAAAGCATCAATTTTTCGGTGCTCAGCTTTCTTCACAGTCCAACTCTCACATCCATACATGACCACTAGAAAAACCACAGCCTTGACTAGACGGACCCTTGTTGGCAAAGGAATGTCTCTGCTTTTTAATATGCTATCTGGGTTGGTCATAACTTTCTTCCAAGGAGTAAGCATCTTTTAATTTTATGGCTGCAGTCACCATCTGTAGTGATTTTGGAGCCCCCAGAAATAAAGTCTGACACTGTTAGGACCCTGTAAACCTACCCACAGTATTGTGTTTTCATATTTTTGTAGGTAAAATTTTGTGCTTAAACAAGATGCATTAACACAAGAAAATGGTTTGGTACTTAATTCATAATATCCTGTATCTTTTTTTTATAAAACCCAATAAGCCCCAACAAAATACAGATCTACTTCATTTCTGACATTTGCTTTTACCTCATTGGTCATCTTGGCCAGCTGCAGTCCACTTTTTTAGTCAAATAAATGTCTCAAACCAAATGACAGATTTTTTTTATAACCTCTTAATGCTTTAAAATTCAGAATATTTAAGAAAGAAAGCTAGATGATCTCTTCAAAGACAAGCTAACAATGTCAACTAAAAATTTTTGATTAGTGCCATTTGACTTTATAAATCATTCTTGAAAATGAGATACTCCTTAACAATTTTGAAGACAGTATTTGGAGAGCAGTGATCAATGATGTACATTTAGTGGAATATTCTATCTTCTGAAGTGTGACAAGAAAACAAATAAGGAAAGGCTCTCTCATACTGTATTGGTAGCAATGTAAAACAATACAAATTTTTTTTCCTATTTTGCCATTGGGGGTAGATTTTTGTCAAATTTATTAATAAACTAAAATGTATGTGTCTTTTAGCCTAGTTATTTACTGTTAGAAATACATTCCGAAGAAATAATGAGAAATACTAATATTTATTACCAGATATGCTCAATATAGACCTTTTACAGCAATAAAAAAGTATCTTTTAAAATAATAAATAAGGGATTGGTCACATAAATTATAGTAACCAAATAAAAGGGATGAAATTAGATTAAATATTATCCTAAACCTATAATAATTCCTTTTCAGAGACTACTTTTTTCTTCTTTCATTCCCAAAAGAATTCCAGAAAATATCTAGCTTAAAGAAACTTTGCAATAAATGATAGCTGAATGAATAAATGTCACTCCCAAGTCTATAGACTTAACTTAGCTCAGAGTCTGAGCTTTACACATGGTTCATGGAGGTGGAGTCTCAATCAGACCATTTTTGTTAGTAAATTGTATATGTGTAGAATACATTAAAAAGGAAAACTATACATAAATTGGTGCTATAGAAATTGAAACTATTCATTATCTAGAATGGTTTTTAATTTTCAAGATAATTTCAGTGTTGAATTACTTTGCTATAGATCAGTAAATCATTCATGCAAGGAAGCAATGTTGTGGCCATTAGAAGCCCACAGTAAGTAAATGACTGCTATTTATTTTTAATTACTACTGGGAAGAAGAGTTTCAGCTTTTTAAAGAAAAGCAAAACCAAGTTGAGTATATTGTACTGTCATATAAATGTTCTTCAATTAAAATCAGTCAATTAGTTCTTGACATCACTACTGCTTTTATTCTGAGACTCCCTCTAAGAACTACTATCCCAACATCAAGTGTTAATGATGCGGAAAAACCCTTTTACTTACTTGTTGGCAAAGCACATTCTCCTGATAAGTCCAAATATTGGTTTACCTTATTAAATGGGCTATTTTGGATAAGGACTTAGAAAGGAAACAATTACCCATTTTTCTACTTAAACAATCACTCAAGCAGAATTATGAAATAAAACTAATCATCTCTGCAATGATAGGGTAGGTTTTAAGTCAAGTATATTGTTCTGGAAACTGAATCTGATATAAAACTTAGACTCAGTTTCAACGTCAAATAAACCAAGAGGTTAAGATATTTATGACAGAAAATCATAGTATCATAAAATTACCAGTGATAGTTGCACATTTTCTTGCATTGACACTCTTATTTAAAAATTTTAAATACATGCTAAAGAATGCATGGTATAAGTGCTCAACAAACATTTGTTAAATAAATGACGAAAGGAATGTATAACTGAAGAATGAAAAATACTGTCACAAAGATTGAATAATATAGTAGAAAGTGCATAAAGTCTTGAAATAGACTAAACCAGTTTTAAACTGGATGCTATTAATATTACTCACAAGTAATCCTGTGCAAGTTACTTAGTTTCCACCTCTATTTGTCCACTTTTAAAATGGGACAGATTAGACATACCCTAACGGGGTTGAGGGTAAGGGAAGAGGGTATCAGATGATGAGATGGCTGGATAGCATCACTGATTGAACATGAACTTGGACAAACTCAGGGCGATGGTGAGGGACAGGGAAGCCTGGCATGCTGCAGTCCATGGTGTCACAAAGAGTCAGACACGATTGGGTGACTGAACAGCAACAACAACAGGGTTGAGAGAAGGCTTAAGTAGTTAGATAACAATATAACGGAGAGTATAGTCTGCAGACAGTCTATAGAGTATAGTCTGCAGGCAGCCTATCTTGGAGTTGATATTTGACTTAACACTTTAAAGTTTATGTAACCTTGGGCAAGTTGATAAAGGTGTTAAATGTCAGTTACCATATTTGCAGAATGGGGCAAATAATAGTACCTAACTCAAAAAACTGTTCTATGGATAAAAGTGGCATGTATTAAACACTTGATAAATGGATTCTCTTAGAGTTGAGACTTTCTAAGTAAAGCACTCAGTGTATTTCTAATGTATAGTAAGAACTCAGTAAGCTCAGTAAGTGGTAGTTATTACTGCTATCATCTTCTTTGTCCACTATTTTCTTTCATTTTATAATTCAGAATGTGTTCAAGCTTCTACTGCCTATTAACATCAGTCTTTTAAAATTACCTGAGCTATGCTTCAATAATTCCTTTTCCCTACATTTGCACTGGTCTTGTAGACTATTTTTAATGGTACAGTGAATCTTATTTTTTCTTTTATTCTTATGCCCTTCTGGAACATTCTAAAACTTATATGTGAAAACACAATATATATGCTTGTGCATATTCAAACATGCAGAGGGTAGTAGGTAAAAGTACAATCTACCTATTTATGCTTTTACTTACTAATCACTTGCATATTTGAATGTTGCTATGCTAATAGAGAATGGTTTATCTAGACACTAGACAGGGTGTGAAAGAACTCTGAGCTATAGAACCCTGCTGATATTCATCCCATATACATAGTGCATATTTTTTCCCCTCAGGTTTCAATCTAACTTTTTAAAAAATAAACCAAAGTAGCTTTGAAAAATATGATGTTAAAATATTGAGCTGGTTCTCTTTAGGACTGCCAAAGAAATATAATACTCCTAATAGAATATCTCTAGAGAAGGAATTTTAAATAGCTCTATGCTCCTGAATTCACATAAAAGAAAGACAAGATAATCTTTTAGGTGATTTAACAGTTAAGTGAGGTGTCAGCCTACAAGGTTGTATGAATCTATGGGTTGCAAATAATTTTGATTTTGACAGTCAAAAATGAATTCTGTATGGTATTCTAACTACCTATCTACAAAAAGGCATTTTTTTGTACTAGTTTTACCAAGACAAGTTACCTAGGTCTTATAAATGGAATGAAGAATGACTGCTTCCAATTTGATTTGACCTTGAAAACAATGTTTTTTTAAGTCTCTGAATCTTTTGAGTCATCAGTTGAACACAAAATTGTCTATGTAATCCTTGATGTCCCAAGAAGGAAACAAATTCATATTTAAAGTATCTCATAAGCACAAACACATGTATATTCTTAATGTGGGTAATCAGTATTAATAAATAATGATTGTTTAAGGTATTTTTAATTATTTTTCAATTAATTACATTAATTTATTTTATTGTGCAAAGTAGATGCTGCCCTGAGGGTGTTCACTGGACACTCCCAGGATCCTAGACCCCTGAGTTTTCATTGTCAAGAAGGAATTAGGAGTACAGAGTTCAGGACTGTGTAAGATCAAGAGCTAGAACCAGGCTGCTTTTATCATCATTAATAGACTGGACTAGGAAAAAAGATACCTATAATCAGGAAAGGAAAATGAAAAGAACATTGCCTATCTAAGGAAGGGGTCCCCAAACTCCAGGATCTAATACCTGATAATCTGAGGTGGAACAGAAGTAAGAACAATAGAAATAAAATGCTCAATAAATGCAATGCACTTGAATCATCCTGAAACCAACCCCGCTCCCAGTCCATGGAAAAACTGTCTTCCACAAAACTGGTCCCTGGTGTCAAAAAGGTTGGGGGTTGCTGATCTAGGGTGATTTCTGGAAGGGAAAAGATTCTCCCTTGAGAATCCCCATACCACTCTCAAGGTGGGATTGGGGTTCAGATTCACAGTGCTTATGGTTTGGAACAGTTAAGAATTAATTTGAATTGACTCCAA